AAACTGTAGATCAAGATTAAAAGCCATAGAAGATCAGTTGGGCATGGTATTGTATGCCTGTGATCCTAACATCCTGGAGGTCTAATAATGGTGACCTTTTTAGAGGAGAGGCATGAGGGAGCTTTCCAGAGTGTTAGAAATATTCCATGTCCTGATACTGAAAGTAATCATAGACATAGGAAAATTCAGTGTACATGTAATACTGTATTTCAATTAAAACTAACCATTAAGGTCAAGTCCCACCTGGGCAACTCAGTGACTGAGTGAGATCCTATCTCAAAAGAAATGGGGGAGGGTGCTGAGGATGTAGCTAGTGCAAAGGCCCTGGGTTCAGGGTCGGGGAGGACCCGCTTGTGGTTCTGGGTGACTGCAGAGGACTAGAAGAGGCCAGAGGTGCTGTCAGGAACCATACAAGGCGGATTCCACATCCACTTAAGGGCTTGGATTTTATGCAGGTGCCTGTGAGCCACTGGAGAGAGCAAAGAGGTGACATGACCCACTTGACTTCATTTAAAACTGGAGGTGATTAGAATGGGACAGAGAGACAGAGAAAGAAAGAGTGAGGAAGGAAGGAAGGAAGGGAGGAAGAAGAAAGAAAGGAAGAAAGAAAGAAAGAAAGAAAGAAAGAAAGAAAGAAAGAAAGAAAGAAAGAAAGAAAGAAAGAAAAAAGAAAGAAGCAACAAGACCAGCAACACCTTGTGCTGGAGACGTTGAGCCACAGGAACTCTGACACATGGCCAGTGAGAAATACTTGGGAAAACAGCCTGGCAGTTTCTTACAAATCTAAACATGCATTTATCAAACTACTCAGAAGTCCTGGTCCTCAGTGTTTACCCACATGAAATGAAAGCCCACAGTGAACCAAAACTCATGCACAAACGTTCATATCAGCTGGGTTTATAATCACGGAAAACTGTAAAGAACCCAAATGTCCCTCCATGAGGAACAGATGAGATGATAACACCGTGCACAGTAGGACCGTCCTCAGCAACAAAAAGGACTTCTCCTCTCACTGACATTTGCAGTGACTTGGCTGAATCTCAAGTGCAATGTGTTATCTGAAAGAAGCCAGAGACGAAACGTGGCCCACCACATGATGCCATCTAGTGCGACATTCTAAAAAAGGCGGAACGGACACACTCAGCTTTGCCTCTGGGCTCTAAATTTTGCAAGAGGCTTCTGGTCCCCTTTGCAAGGGGACCGGGCTGGCAGCAGAACCAGGCAAACACTCCTGGGCAAGCTTCTTATTAAGGAATGGACTGTTCCTAGAAGAAACTGGTAGCCCAGTGTAGGGGGAAGGGGAAGAGAGAGAGGCCAAGCAAGGACGCGCATGGGTCCGCCCCAGCCCGGCTCCTCGGCTCTGTGGTTGTGCCTGGAGGGAGGGAGCTGCGCTCTCTTCCTCGTACCCTCCATCCTATGGCCAAGGGCCACCCTGGGGACATTCCCAGACATTCCTAGGTCCCTGTACCTGCAGCAAGGATCCCAGGAGCCCCATGGTGAGCTGCTGAAGAAAACCCCATAGGGAAGCTGTCCAGAGAAAGTCCCCAGAAGCTGGGCACACAGCGATGGAGAATGGTTCTGGGCAGGGCACAGGGCGGAGCACAGGTGGGGTCCTCTCTGCCAGCTGTGCTGCATCCCCCACGTACTTGCTCCTGGGGCCACATGGGTCCAACTGGAGAGGGTGGGAAAGGCAGGCCCCCCTCTTCCCCTGAGATCAAGGGCAAGAAGTCCTTGCCGTGGTTGGATCCTAAAGGCTGCGGTGGGGATGAGCTGGAGGCCTACAGCATTTCCTGGACTGCTTGGATCTCAGGAGGTTATTCTCTTACTAATGCCGACCCTTCAGCCTGTGAGGCTTCTGAGGCACAGTTCAGAGTTAAAGGTGGCCGCAAGTCTCTCTCCACCCCAAATGTGAAAGTGATCGCCCTCCTTTCCCTTCAGCGGGTGAATTTGAGCAGCAAATGTCAGTGCTGGTTTCTGGCTGAGCCCACACGCCCATGGTCCCCAGCAGGAACGTCCTGTGGACAACTGCCCCTCATTCAGAGGTTGTTTCCAACCTGTAGGAGAGAGTCCCTACCATCTATGGAATGGTGGTGATACTAAGTGTTCGGGGGTTTTGTGAGGTTTTTTGTTTTTTGTTTTTTTGTGGGGTTTTTTTGGTCTTTTAAAAACAGGGTCTAGCTCTGCAGTTCAGGCTGGCCTTGAACTCACAGGGATCCTCCTGCTGGGATTACAGGCATGAACCACCACACTCGGGGTTTCCTATGACTTGTCTGGCAAAATAAAACAGCAGCTCTGCTTTGGATCATATATGTGGGGTGGGGAAAGTGGACAGCACTGTGGAGTAGAGTTGATGCCCCTGGTGAGACAGGAATATCGGTCCATGTGCCCGCTTACCCCAGCTTCTGGAGAGCAGCATCCTGGGAACCACGTGACTTCTCCCAGCCACCATGCTATAAACTGAACCCCAGGTGGTCACCTGACCAGAGCCAGTGGATTCACTGGTTAATCACTGACCAACTAGGTAATGCGGGGGTTTTGTTTTTAAGGTGATGACTATTTGAGTTGTAAACTCTGACAGACCAGTACTTTCCCCAGATGTGTGTTTTTGTACATTCCTGATCGGCAGACTTACGGACAGAAGGACCCTAGGGGGCTGTGTGAAACAGCTGAGCCCCACAGGGGGCAGGCTGCTGGGGGCGGCAGGACAGCCCAGTGAGCTGCTCCCACTCGGCTTCTGCGAATCCTCGCAGGCATCATAGCAAACCCCTCCATCTTAACTATTAGGAAAGAATCCGTCCTTGGTAGCTAGGAAACCAAGCAAAGGCAGCCAAATTCATTCTAAAGGAAACCAGACATGAAGACTGTTTAAATATGCAAAATGATTTCAGTTAAAACTTTTGAGTCTGCTAATTTAAAAACAAATTCACAAAGTAGTTTGACAAGTGTCTTTCCCTGGATGATGGTCCCAGTCTGCCTCTCTGAATGCGTGGGTGCTAAATTCTTACTTCCTAGTAACCAAGTCAGGCAGTTTCTTTGTAAAGACACCCAGAGCTAATCTAACTGATCCAATTCTAAATTCTCAGTCGCTGGGGTAGAGTACCAGCAGTCTGAGTTCTAATCGTAAGTCAGACTGGCTGTGTTACCTTGGGAAAGTTACCATATCTCTCTGAACCTCAGTTTTCTCATCTATGAAATGAGGGTGATGATGAATCACCTTCTCAGCGGTGCTGTAAGAGAAGCTTAAATGCATCTAACACAGGCTTTCATTTAGGTTTTAAAAATCCATTTGTTCCTGCTCTGGTTCCTGTACTTTAAGGACAGGAATTAACTGGGGTTTGTTCCGTCATTGGGAGTACCCCAAACTATTTCATGTGTGATAAATTTACTATTTGGAGAAAGAGAAAAAAAAGATCCATCCCTCAAAATGTATACAAAATTAACTCCAGATGGAATACAGTTAAATGTGAACAAATATTTAAAACCCAGAAGAAAATAGAAATGAATATTCATCAAATTCAAAAGAAATGGAGAATCATACACACACACACACACACACACACACACACACACACAAAGATATTGACAAATTTGATAAACCACATCTACAGAGACACTGCTTCAGCCTACAAGCAAACTCCAAATTGGGATAATGGGCGGCCACCCAAACATCCTTACATACAGCGTTCTTACAAACCAACAAGTGAAACACTGAGATCACCAACAGGTAAGCAAAGGGCACTGACAATGTCACACAAGAAGTACAAATGGCTAATAAATATCCATTAAAATATTCATTATTACTAAAATTTAAGAAACTTGAAGAAATTTAAAATGTAGTGTTCATTTCTACTTATCAAATTAGCAAATATTTAATAATAAATAGTACTTAATGTTGGAAAAGGTATATATAATGATCATGCAATTCAAACACAGGTAAAAGTTGGAGTTTTAGATTTTTGGATTCTTAAAAAATGGATTGTGCTGTAATCCCAGCACTGAGGAGGCTGATATAGGAGGATCACCAAGAGTGAGGCCAGCCTGGGCTACATAATGAGCATAAGACTAGCCTAAATTACATAGCAAGACCCTGCTCAAAAAACAAACAAAATATTATGGGCTGGAGGTGCAGTTCAGTGATAGAGTGTGTGCTTGTCATGCACAAAGTCCTGGGTTCAACTCCCGCACTGCAAAAAAATAAAATTTCAAAAAAGATCACCCTTGTAAGTCTTTCCTCAGCACAGCACTGTCTTTGATTTTATCCACCTTGGGACCCCTTAGTCCTCAATCACATCCCTAGGATTTCTACCTCTGGTCTGTGAAAGATAAGATATAAATGACCACTACAGTAAGGGATCTGTATAAAAAAATTGAAAACATATGATAAAACTTTATTTTAAAGACTTCAAGTATATCCGTATGTCTGGCTATCAGTTTGACATCTCAGTGTTTGGATGTTTGTCAACCTATTTATTATCCCACTAAAAATGCTAATGACAAAACAATTGGAGGAAAGTCATCTCTAAAATGTTCACAAAAAAAAAATAAATAAATAAAATAAAATAAAATGTTCACAAAACTTGGACCCTGGTCACACTTCCAGGATGTGAGAGTCTAAGGATTAGCTTGAAACAACACGAAACTTTATATATAAAGCCCTGAAAAAATCACAGTATTGTATTACAACAATAAAAAAAAACAAATTTCTAGCATTTGGAAATGATCAGTAATTGCCTAGACAATAGCATATTACAAATCATTAAAAGTTAAAAAAAAAAAAAAAAACTTGCAAGGAGATTTTAGCAGCATGGGAAAATATTCCTATAATAATCTTGAATGAAAGAAGAAAGCAAGGTATCAAATTTTATGTTTACTATGTGCTCACTTTTGAAAAAAAATGAACAGAAGACACAGAAGTAAAAGTTAATAGTGCCTACTTCTGGGAGGTGGGATTATGGGTAATTTTAATCTTTCTATTGTTGTAAATTTCCCAAATTGTTCACAATGCTCATGGATTAGTTTTCTACTTAACTACAAAGACATATTTTTGCTTTTGTTTGTTTGAAAGCAAATGACGGAGACACTTTGTTCCATAAGGAACAACTCATCCCCCCTAGATGGGGTAAGGAAGAAGCAGACCACGGCGGGGTGACCCCAGAGGCAGACCCAGGACCCTGTGAGGGAAGCCTTGGAGAAGCAGGTGAGAGCCGAATATCAGGAAGAACTTCATACCGGACAGAGCTTAACCCCCGGGGGAGCAGGCCGTGTCAACAGGGAGGGAGTTCCTCATCTCTGGGGATATCCAAGAAGAGATGGACAACCCCTTATCAACACTGTCACAGAAGAGATTCAGGGGTGTGAAGGAAGCTTAGGTTAGATGAGGAATCTCGCAGCTTGCGATGCTAGGAAAGTATGCATGACAAAGGGGGGATCGCTGGGAGAGGCGAGGTGGCAGAGGAGGTTTTGCTCAGAGCGTGAGACTCGAGTGCAGTCAGCTATCCTTCCAGCCTGAGTACCGAGTGACCTGGGAGGCCCACAAACCCTGAGGCTTTCAGCCCCGAAGTCCCTGCTGGCTCAGCTTTGGCTGCATCAGCAGTGGAGGTCCTGCTGGGTGCTTGGGAAACGTCCTCCCAGCCAGGCAGGCCCTGGCCCATCCTCTCTTGACCAAGCAGAAGTTCTCTTTCAAATTAAGGATCTCCTACGAGCTAAGCGCTTCACCCTCCTCATCTCAAATCAGACCCATGAGAGCCCGAGACCAACACCACAGACAAGGTAAGCTGGGCTCAGAGAGGTGCCGACCCTTGCCTGCACTCACCAGCTGGGAAGTGGCAGAGCAAAGATTCCAACCCAGTCCGCCCGCCCTCCTTGGATGACAAGACAGCTCCTGTCTCATTTCGAGCTTCCCCACAGCCAGAGACAGGCCAAAGCCAGCCAGCCAGATAGTGAGCAGATAGTGACTGTGGTGCCATTTCTGCCCCCAGCCTGGACTGCGCCTAGGTACACACACGGGTGAACACACACGGATTCAATTTCCCTCACTCTTGTTGTCTTCATACAACTATGAGGCTACTTAGGAGGCTGAGGCAGGAGGGTCATGAGTTCAAGCCCAGTCCAGGCATTGTAGTAACTCTGTCTCAAAATAAAAAATAGAAAGGGCTGGAATATAGCTCAGGGGTAAAGTGTTCTTGGGCCAGTATCCATAAAAGAAAAATCTTTATGAGGTGAGACTATTATTTATTGATTTTTATAATCATTTTCGTAGCCCAGTGGTGGGCAGGGGGAACTCACTGAAGGTTCGGGGGGTGGGCACAGATCCAAACCAGACTCTGTGCTCCACCTGCTGGTTCTTACCCACCCTCCTGTAAGGCAGGTGCCACTCCCATACTTTCAACAAGTCTACCGTGGCATCAGTTAAAATACCCACTATTATTTTATCACTGCCAGAAAGGAAAAAATGCTACTGATTAAAATTATGGTACAGAAGCTATTGTAAGAGAGAAACCATCTTCAGAGATGTGAAAAACTGCGCCATCTGACATGGCGTATCCTTATTGTGCAGAAGAAAACAGCACCGCAGGAGGAGTCGATGTTTTGCCCTAAGTCAAGCAGCTGATAAGCAGCAGAACCAGGACTGAAGCCTGAGTCCCTTGGACCCCAAAGCCTGCCTTTGGACCCATTGTAGAAGACTGTGGGGCACCGCTGGAGTACGGATGGTGTCCCTGAGAGTTTTGCAGTGGCCGTCCTGAGCAGCTGTGACTGGCAGTCCTGTATGTGTTCCTCTGAGCCGCACTGAGGTGGTGGGATTAGCTGGTAAAGCACCTTCCAGGAGAACTGGGAACGTATAAGCTGAGGCACTGGAGTAGAAACTTTCGTGATGATGAGGTGGAAATCAGGCTGACCAAGACATGGGACATACGCTAGGAAACCCCGAGAGATCTGGGCAAATAGACAAGGTTGCCCTGACTGACAGGCACACAGGGAAGGTTCTCAACCTTCCTGAGTCCTCCAGGGCCCAGCTCCTGCCATTGACAAGTACCAGGTGCCAGATGACTAATGAGGTGCTCACCCTGCTCTGAAAGTAGGACTTGTCCCTGCAGCCTGGCTTCCGGGGACCCTCGCACAGGCTGGAGGGCAGAGGGCCGCGGCTCGCACTGTTGATATTCTCCCCAGGTCCCACCTGGCGTTTTTCCTCACTTTGCTTCCCACTGCCGTTGGGAAGTTTCATCAGCTGTAAGAAGCATGACCTTAGAGTGCTTGGCGCCTGAAGGAGTGCTAGGATGGTCCCCAGAACCACTCTGCCTCATGCCTCAAGCATATCCTGGACGTCCAGGGGGCTGGCAGGGAAAGTGATGGGATTTCTTTCTGATTCTCTGCCTCCACCCTCCGTCATTCCAGCTCCATTCTGGAGGCTGCCTGGCTGGGCAGGTTTAAACAGCAGGTACTTTGGCGGAGGGGGCGGGTGGTGCTCTGCACTTGCCTCAGCGTCCCAGTGTGCAGAGGATCCTCAAGGTCAGGGGGACATGGCCACATCTCTGGGCTCTGCAGAGCTGAGAAGCCCCAGCACCCAGGCACACACACCCGATGTAGTCAGCCTCGCTCTTCGCTTCCACGCTGATCAGCTTCCCACCGCTGTTTGAACATCCGAAACAGCTTCTAAAGTGAAAAGCTTATTTGGCTCAGGGTTTGGAGGGGTTAGTCCATGGTGCACTGGCTGATGCTTTTCTATCTGTGGTAAGGCAGAATATCAGGGCAGAAGCACACGGCAGAGCAAAGACATGCACCTCAGGCTGGGAAGCAAAAGAGAAAGAGGAAGGGGTGAGGTCCCAGTGCCCCCCTCAAGGGGACACCAGTGACTCAAAGGCCTCCCGCTAGGCCCCAACCTCAGGGTTTCCATTACCTCCTAGTGTGGCCATGGGCTGGGATCAAGCCTTCAACACATGGACCTCTGGGGCACATTTTAGATGCAAATTGTGGCCTCCCTTTCCCAGGAGCCCCTGTGCCCCGCTTCAGACAGTGAGTCCATCACCCAGGACCAGCGACAGAAACCCTGTCCATGCTGGCTTCAGGAAAAGGGAATTGGTCTGCTGATGGAGTGGCCAACCATGCCTCAGGCCAGCAAGGGACACACCTACACCTCTGTGTGCCTGGCACCCAGGACCGAAGGTGACTGCATCCTTTTCCCCCTCTCTTCTCCCTGCTCCCCAATGTGTCAAATTCCTCCTCGCTCGCCTCAGACACCATCAAGGTCACGGCTCTACCACATACTAGTCGTAGAACTTGGTCATATAATTCAACATCTCTTTTGCTGTCTTGGGGACTGAACCCAGAGACTTCTTACTGAGCTGTATCTCCAGTCCTTTTTTATTTTTCATTTTGAGATAATGTCTTGCTAAATCACTGGACTGGGCTCAAACTTTCTATCTTCCTGCCTCAGCCTCCCAGAGTGCTGGGATTACAGGCTCTTACCCTCGGTTTTCTCCTCTGCAAAAGTCTGGGTGAGGACGCCAGGCAGAGTTGTAAAGATCCCTTCCTTCACCTATCCACCCTGACTCAGGGTAAAGGTCAGGTAGTAAAACAACCACCTATTGGGTGATTTCTGCTAGAACAGCAGCAGGACAGAGCTGGAGCCTATTGCTCCAGTGGCTTATGTGAGGTTGATTGAACATTTGCCAGGTCTCCTGTTCTAGAGGAGGGAAACACATCCTGTAAATGGCCCTCTTAGGACCTAAAGGCCGAAAGCTGGGACTAAACAGGGCTCTTTAGAAAGAGTCATGAAACAGGGCCTGAGCCCTGCAAAGGGGTCCAGAGCAACCACACTCCTTTCCTCCCTCCAGAGACAGTCTTTCCTCAGCATCACCCATGACCAGACACAGCCCTCCTCACTCTCTGAGGTACCTTAAACACAGGTGGTCATGTGGAACCAGTTTTTACTGAGGGACTCTGGGATAATGGAGAAGATACTAAAGTTCCAAACCAAAAACAAGTTAACATTGAGTGTCAGATATTTCTGGGGGTTTTTTGTTGTTGTTTTTTGAGATAGGGTCTCACTCTGCAGTTCAGGCTGGCTTTGAACTCACTATGTAGTCCAAGCTGGTCTCGAATTCACAGCGATCCTCCTACCTCTGCTTCCCAAGTGCTGGGATTACAGGTGTATACCACCACGCCCGGCTGGCATTTCTGTTTGAAGAAGTCTGTGGCGAAGGCTCCCTGGGCACAGGCCTCTGGCTGGTGGCGAGGTTAGGACCCTCAGTTCACAGTATTTTGGGTCTCGGCTCGGCCACATCTGGCCTCAGCTGTCCACCCAGAAACTCCAACCGTCTGTGACAGAGCTCATTAGATGTCTGTCTCCCATGCGTCCCTACCACGCAGCTCCATTCAAGGTTTAAATCCCCAGGAGCTGGTCTGTTTAGCTCCTCTTGGGCCGTGGTGCCTGCCTTGGAGACAGGTGTGCCTGTGGTTGACAGTCTTCCAGGACCAAGTGGAGTGTGGAAGGTGCAAGGAAGACAAACAGTAAGAGATGCTTCCAGCAGACCTGCTGCGCTCCTGTCCTCTGGCCATTGCCCCCATTTCTTGGCCCACTGAACTTGGCTCTTGTTCAGGCACCCCTGTGACCCCCCAGTTTTGCTTCCTGTAGGGGCAGCTGTTTCAGTTAGGACGGGTCTGCTGCAAGAATAAATGCCTGACTAAAGTGACTTAAGCAATGAGGCTTTGTTGATTTCACATGAAAGCTGGCAGTAAGAGGGATAAGGGCTGATGTGGTGGCTCGGTGAGGTCACCTCAACTCAGGTATCTTTGTCCTAGGGAAGATGTCTCCCTCCTGATCTCAGAATAGCTGCTGAAACTCCAAGCATCATGCCCAAATCAGAAGGGAAGGAAAAAGGTGTTCCTCCTAATCAAGGAGAAAAATCTTTACAGAACCCTCGAGTGTATCTGACTTCAATTACCATTTATCTGGAACTAGGTCGCATGTCCATCCCTAGACGAGTCACCAGCAAGGAGGAATGGAATGGACAACTTGGATCAACCATGATTCATCCCTTGCAGCTGGGCACAAAGGACCTCACCCTCCCAAATTCCAGGTCTGTCAGCTGTCTCTCGTGACTGGTCCATAACTGGCCTTGGTTGGAGAGGACTCCAGAGTCCCCATAGGATTGACTGAGGTTTTTGTTACCCAGCTTCCCTCACTCTCTTGCAGATGTTCTGAGTGCACTCAGAACACGTCCTACGTGCACATCTGCCCCTCGGAGTCTGCCGCCCCGGAAGTGACGGAAGACAGGTGGCAGACATGGAGCAGGGCCCCGCCGTTCCTTGCCTCTTGACTCCACAGACACATCACTAATCAGTCACCATGCTCGCTCCTGCTGAGCCCGCACACAACGCGGAATCCTTTCCAATGCAGCACTGCCGCTGGATCAGATTTAGCACATGAGATGCACCTGTTAATCTAAACTTTAGATCAGAGAGAAGAAATTTCTAGTTTGCTCCAATCTACTTTGAGCCCAACAGAAAGAAAAGAAACTCTCAAAGGACCCACAGAGAGATGATCAAATAATTTGTGACAAAAGATCTAGCATTTCCCCCGAGTCCCTGCGGTTTTCCTCCCAGCCCACAAAAATCGCCGGTACATCCATCAAATGTCCTCTGTCAACAGCTAGTTAGCGAACACTCAGTGCGCTTGGTGGCTGCAGGCCCTAATGGTGACCGCTGGGCCCCACAAGGCAGTGTGAGTGCCTTCCTCGTTTCCCTGACCCTCAGGCCTGCTGGGGGAGTCTGGTTGCTGTGTGAGATGCCGGGATAGTTACACAAGCGAAGCCGCCGCATCAGTTTGCTCATGTGCCTGTCCTCGGCTGGGCCCTGGCTAAGCTGGAAGAAGCTCCCTTTCTTTTTCTCAAGAGGCAGTACATGCCTCTGAATGTCTCTGTTATTACTATTGATCTCTCTGGATTTCTTTATGGCCAGAAATAAGAAATCCAATTTGATTAGAGTTTGATTTGGCCTCCAAGGCAAGATGCATCAATACCACAGCTGAGAACCGAGCAGGCGCCCATCCGGTTAGAGTTGATCCAGCACATTGGGGGTGGCAGCAAGGCCCATCCTTGCCCCTTGGCCACCCGCTCCAGCTGTCACTGCCTCCATCCTCTCTCTGCTGACCCTCCATTGAGGGGGGTAATAATGAAACAAACACCAGGCTCTGCCCAGGCCGTGTCCCCGTGGGACCCCTACTTCCTCTCAGGCTGGGTGACACAGGAGACACACACGTTGCCTTTGGAGTCAGACTGACCCAAGTTCAAATATTAACTTGGTCACTTGCCGCAGGGCTTCAGTCAATTCACGGAACTCTCTGAGGCTCGGTTTCCTCACCTGTAAAATGAGGGTATTAGCTGGGTTCCTTGGGGCTGCCGTGGCAGAAACCCTGCATCACCTTCTGCCTCTCAAACTCTCGTCATTTTGTTCAGCCTTACCCAGCCTCTCCCAGGTCCCCGCACAGCTCTGGCCCAGGGGCCTTGCAGCTTAGGCTGCTCTCGTAGCTGGAATGCCTTCCTGATTCATCTTCACCTTTCAGGGCTCCGCTCGGGACTCACCTCTGCCGAGGCTACCTTGTGTCCTTCCTCCCGTCTCCAGGCTGTGTCAGCGTCCCCTCATCACAGCCCCCCTCTCTCTGCGCTGTCTGCCTCCCCCACCAGACTGTGAGAGGGGGAGGGCAGAGGCTTCCTGTCTCTGTGCCACGTATGGCTAGCATCTAACAGGGGACAAGGCCTAGCATGGCCCCCAGGGAATAGATAAACACGGCCACGGCGACGAGTCACTGTCCTGGCTCCTGTCCCTGCACCGGGAATCACCCCAAAAACTTACCAGAGTTCAACTGCTTTAGCAGCCTCTGGTTGCGAGGGATTAATGGGAGAGGAAGTGTCCCCTGCCACCCCACCTGGCTGCGGGCTGAACGCTCAGCAGGAACTTTCAACCCGAGCACTGACAAGTGGCCCGTGCGCGTGGTCTGACAATCTCAGGGTGACTGGACTTCTGACTCAGCAGTGGACATCAGGGTGTGCATTCCCATGGGCAAGAGGGGGCCTCACCTCCGACAGCCAGCCTCGCATGCTGAACGGAGTCACTTCTGTTGCAAAGGGCACGGGACCAGCTCCAATTCTCCTCAGAATGCAGAAAGCTGGAAAGGGCGTCACTTCCAGTGAGAAAAGGGCAGATAAGCTGCAGGCTGATGACTTTTGTGGAACCTATCAGCAGCTGAGATGACAGGGCAACCAGGAGTCTGAAATGTAAAGAAAGGCAGGTGCCTCCAAGGGGCATGGGCCCTCGCTCGCCAGGGGCACACACTTGCTGCCACAGGGCTGTAAATATTCAGCTACGGCTTTTAGCAAATTGCTCCGGCTGAGAGTGGCCTGGAGGGGAGTGCGCGTCCCCGGGGAGCACAGGGACCTGGGAATTGGCACCAACTCACAGGCTCATCTCAGGCTGCTTTAAGAAAGCCTGAGGCTGAGAAGGCAGACGCAGCCCGCCTCCCACCCCAGGTCCTGCTGGGGAAAACTGGGGAGAGGACAAGGCAAACCTGTCACCCTGGGTGCCCGCTGCAGCTGGGAGAGGGGAAGAGAGCAACCCCTGATAGCGGTGGGGGAGGGGCGGGTCACTGGGAAGGCCCCGCCCCCGGCCCCCGAGGACACGGTGCCACCGCTGTGTAGATGTTGTCAGTGGAACATCTGTAACACACCAGGGTCTAGGCGCAGTCCTTGGGGTGCAGGACACCCGTGGGACTCTCAGAAAGCGGACCCAGTGGACCCAGAGACAAACAGTTGTACAGACGAGACATCAATGAATGTGAGCTTGGGGCACAGTTGTCCCCAGTCCTAGCCCTTCCTCTTTCCTAGGACCTTCAGAGGAGAGACCCACAGGTTTAGTGTGACTTCTGTGGTCCCGCACTCAGCAACAGAACCAGACAGAAGACAAAAGAGAATCAAATCTCTTCTCGAGTTATTTGATTGCACAGAGTCAGGTCCCCAAGGTGGGGGACCTCAGACTCAAGGCCAGACCAGGTCTCCAAACCCTTTGAAATAAGCCGGGGTGGGGAGGAATCTTTGCAGTTGAGAGTCTTCACCCTGAGGAAGTGAAGGAGACGGCGCTTAGTCTATGGCTTCTCCCTTTCCAGGGAGACAAGGACACCCACACCCAACTCAAGCCAAACGAGGGGGCTCCCAGGGAAGCCTCAGGAAGTGGGGGTGTGACTCAGAAGAGAGACCCTCGCTGCACTCCCTGGGGACACTGGCCTGGCTCACCTGCTTGCAGCGCCTCCCCAGCAAGCAGAGCCAGGCAGGGACACAGGCAGA